TACCCTTGGGAAGGTTGCCCATCCTTACTTTGCGGGTTGACCCTTGTAGTGGGCCAGGCCGGGTTCCCTGGATTTTGAACCGTAGCGTTAAGTCGGGCATGTCCTCCTACAGGCAGATCTTGTCAAACATACTCCAAGATAGGCCAACAAATAATCGAAAAATCGTCCCCAAACTATTTGTTCTACCATGTGCTGAATACTCCTCCTGTACAGGGACAGGCCCGAGTTAACCGTGGCGATCGTCACGAATATGGCGCCCCTCCGGTGGGCTGGAGGCCTTTGCTGGCCCTGTGGGCCCCCGTGGGCCGACTCCGTGGGCCAGTGGTGGGCCAAGCGCGCCCGGGCCCTCGACGAAAAGCGGCGCGGATCGGGAATCTGCTGACCCGGGTCAATCCAGACCCGGGTCAGTGAGGCCTTGCAAGATCCTGCAAAATCCTCCAAGATCCCGCACCCAAGTCCAGGTCAACGCGAAGGATCCTGCGGGATCCCGCGCCCAATCCCGGGTCAATGCAACCCTGGCCCCAACAGGATCCTGCAAGATCGGGCGCTCTGGCTGACCCCCGTTTGCATTGACCCCCGTCTCGAGGCTCCCGAGAGGAGGGCGCCCCGTCCTGTCGGGCGCCGGTGCCAGCCACCAAAGGATGGCGCAACTCCCTGGGGAAGAGCCTTCTCTTAATAAAGTCGTGCACATCCTCCTGCAGGGGGATTTGGGACGAACAGTATTTTTTGGTTTTAAAATCCAAGACGACGCCGACATGGTCAAGAACGATCCAAGCATCGCCCCCAGACGTTTTTTTTTGTTTTTGCATTTTCCTCCTGTAGAGGGACGCACCCGACTTACACGTTCTCCAAGGCACCCCGCCTTGGTTTGTGGATACCATGATAATGGACACTCTAACAATCCGATCATTGAACTGAAGATGTGTTTAAACTGTGTAAAGCAACTTCTAAAAATGCTTCAAACATGGATTTACATATCTAAAACATTGTTGAAACATGTTTTAGGCATATGGAAACTATTTGGCAGCACGCTTCCTCCAGTAATCGACTTCCGCAACCCTGGCGGTGCCGAGGAAGTCTGCGCGCGTGGAGGAGGCGACGTCCGCAGACTCCTCCATGCGGGCGGTTGCCCTGCGGCCACGGCGCGCCCTGCGGGGTTCCAGCCTGCGCGAGGGGCCCCGCAAAGCTGCTCTGCGAGCCCCGCTGGCCCCGACTAGAAGATCGACGCCGCAAGCTGCGGAGCGCCATTGTTTTGTTGGCCCCGTTTGTCTCACGCTGTCTAAGCTTCTCGCCTCGGGAAAACCACGCCGCCGACGACGACGAGGACGGCGACGACGACTGACTCGGATGAGGGTGGAGAGGGCCAAGTGGCGGAGGAGGAGGAAGAGGAGGAGGAGGAGGAGGAGGAGGAGGAGGAGGGAGAGGAGGGTTGAAGAGGAGGCAAGGGGATGTCCGAAGTCCCCAAAGGGCAGAACCGAACGCCCGTCTCGGGCCGGCGAAACATGCCCTGACACAGACCACTGCCGAAAAGTCTGCCTTTGCATACGGGCACACGTGTACAAGAGGAAGCAGGCACAAGCTGTGGCTAGCCCCAAATAGCGCCGTGCCCCAGGGAGGAAACCAACAATAGGAAGCAAAGGGCAGGACCCGAGCCTAGGACCACAGCGACCGCAACCCCGAAGGGTGAGGTCGCCCCCTGGCCCCTTTCCCCCCCAGCCAACAAGCGGGGCGGGAGAAGGCCCCACCAAGGTCGGGGTCGGTCCACTGCTGGGCCCACCCAGCAAGCCAATACGGAACGGTAACCAGGGCCAAAACCTCATCCTAACGTGTCAAGCGGTGTGCCCGCGGCTAACAACATTCCAACCAAGGTAGCTGGAAGCTGTGAACCGCGGGCGCCCGCCTCCGCATCACCATCGGCGGTGCAACTCATGCAGGAGGTGCCACACGGCGCCCAAGCTGCACCGCTTGGCCGCGGTGGCACGGACTTTAAAAATACCCTGGCCTGACGGCTGTGTATGGTTCTTGTTCTCAGGCACAGGAACGAGTTCTAACCGGCACTGCCTCACTCCTCGTTGAAGCTCTCCGGCTTCATCGAGAGGCTGATCTTGCCCGCGCCGACGCCGACGCTGACCACGCGGACCTTCACCTCCTGGCTGGGCTCGAGCTCCTCCTCGACGTTCTCCACGAAGCCGTCCTTGATCTGCGATAAGTGCACCACGCCGTCCGCCGTGGCGCCGTCTGGCGCCGTCGCCTCCACAATGGCCCCAAAGGAGGCGCACCTGGCCATCCTGCCGGTGAGCCACTCGTCCGGGCTGACCGACTCGAAGGCGCTCAGGTCAGCGGGCGCCCCGCCACTGGCGCCGCCGAAGCCCGCCCCCTCCTCAACCATCGACAGGTTCATCTCGCCCGCGCCGTCGTCGACGCTGACCACGCGCACCTTCACCTCCTGGCCGGGCTCGAGCTCATTAGCCACGTTCTTTACGAAACCGTCCTTGATCTTCGTGATGTGCACCAGGCTGTCCGCACTGGCGCCGTCTGGCGCCGTCACCTCCATTAAGGCCCCAAAGGAGGCGCACCTGGCCATCCTGCCGGTGAGCCACTCGTCCGGGCGGACCGACTCGAAAACGCTCAGGTCAGCGGGCGCCGCGCCACCGCCGCCGCCACAGGAGGGGAGGAGGAGGAGGAGGAGGAGGAGGAGGAGGAGGAGAAGCAGGAGGTGGCCCAGTTGCAGGCCAGGCGCCGCGCCCCTCTTCGTCCTAGCCATCATCCTCCTCCCCATCATGCTCGTCCTCCTTCTCACTCCTCCCCCGCTCCTCCTGGCTGCAAAGCTTTGATGCCTCGTCTCGCTCCTCGTAGTCCTCCGAGACAATATCCAACTATCTCAGCGCTCAGTCTTCCAACTGCCTCTCCACACCTCCTCTTCCTCCTCCTCCTCCTTCTCCTCCTCCTCCTGCTCCTCCTCCTCCTCCTTCATTCCTTTTCATTAAAAAATAACTTTTCCCTGTCGCACCCCGAGGCCAGTTTTTAGGGCGGGCTGGGCGTTTCGCCTGAGACTTCCTCACCATTGATGACTCTGAAGTTAAAAGAAGACAACAGCGTCACAGATGGAGGGCGGGCCGTTTTCAAAATGTGGCTCTCGCCTTAGCGCCGCGCACAGTATTTGCAAACGTTTGCAAAATCTTAACGGATTGAAGGAGGCTCCTTTTCAAAATGTGGCTCTCGCCTTAGCGCCGCGCACATTCGTTTTAAACATTGCAAGTGCTTCACGGGTTGAGGGCGGGTCGTTTTCAAAATGTAGCCCCCGCCTTAGCGCCGCGCGCATTCGTTTTAACGGATTGAGGGCGGTTCCCGTTCGAAATGTGGTTATCGCCTTAGCGCCGCGCACATTCGTTTTAAACCTTTGCAACAGCTTCACGGATTCCTATGATCAGCGGGTGAGTTGCAAACGTTTGCAAAAGCTTGGTTTGAACATGCGGGTGCAACATGTACATTCGCTCGCGGTGTTGAAGTCCCAAAAAAGGCGGTTCTGACACGATTCCAGGTCGTCAGGACGCAGCAGTAAGGTTGATCCGTGGCGTGGGAATGCCGAGAGTACTGTTTTGGCATGCTTCAGGGTATTGAAACGGCTGTCTTCCAACGAGGCAGTTCCCTCAATGGAAATGAACCGTTGTAGGGGCGTATGAAAAGGGAGCTTGGAGGGAGGGTGAATTCCAACATCGTCGATGTCTCTTGGGTTTACAGTCCTCCTCCTCCTCCTCCTCCTCCTCCTCCTCCTCTTCTCCTCCTCCTCTCCTCCTCCTCCTCCTCCCCCTCCTCCTCCTCCTCCTCCTCCTCCTCCTCCTCCTCCTCCTCCTCCTCTTCCTTCTCCCCACACCTCCTCCTTATCATCCTTCCTTCCCCATCTTCTGCTCCTCATTCTCCTCCACGATCCTCTCCGCATCTCCTTAGTTACGGCTTCTTCCTCTGGTGGATGTTCCTTCAGTTCAGATCCCCTCCTGGTTGCAATACTCGTGCTCGAACTCTCGATTCTCGTACTCCTCCCTATCCGTACTCCCCCATTTCTGTCTCCCCAAGTCAGTTTTAACACAAGGGCTTATTACAAAATCGTGCAGATTGCGTTTTCCGAGGCCTCTGCCAGATTTGCTGATGTGGCTGCTGATGATGTTGCCACAGGAGGGCTTACCCAGCAGACCTCTGCTGCCTTGTTGATGCCATTGCTGCTCATGGCGTGGTTGATGTTCATGCGGATGCCTTGTTGCTAGTACTGATGTTATGATGTTTCTGCACACTGACTACAAGTATGCTGTTAATGCTGTTTCTGCTGATGCCGTCCCCTTGCTGTGAATGCGGTCGTTCTCAAAACGAGCCCTCTGCCGGCTTTGCTGATGTGGTTTCTGCCGATGTTGCCACAAGGCTTCTCTCCCGATCGATCGGGGACCTCTGCCGCCTTTCCTGGTGTGATTGCTGCTCGTGTCGCGGTTGCTGTTCGTGTGGTTGTGATGTTGTTATTACTGTTGGAATAGTGCCCCTCTGTACTGTGAACATATTGTTGATGTGGTCACCGCTGATATCGTCAGGGCTGTGCACGTGGTTCCTATGCCATAAAATCCCAAGAATGCGTCAGCATAAACGGCTCTCACCTGGTCATTGGGACTACTGTTTTCCGCGCTGCCGTCTTTGCTGGTGATTGCTGGTGTATGTTGTGTCGGCGTTGGGGTAATTCTAACCAGCCACGCCTGCATTGCAGGCGATGATGGGGTGTATCTCCTCCTCCTCCTCCCTCCCTCCCTCCCGTCCTGGAGCAAGAACGGGAAAATAACGAAGGGGAGAACAAGAGTAGGAGGACGACGAAGACGACGACTCTGGAATGGATGGGAGGGAGGGAAAAGGGAAGGAGGGGAGTATGGGGGAGGACGACGACGACGAGCCTAGAAGGGATGGGAGGGAGGATGGGAGGAGGCAAGACAGGACGGCAAGGATGGGGGTGGGCGGCGGTGCTCCTTCGGCGCAGGCGCAGGCGCAGGCGCAGGCGGCTTCTGGTTGACGGGCGGCGACTTGAATGGGACCTCGACGCAAGAAGCTCAGTTCCTCCTCCTCCTCCCCCTCCTCCTCCTCCTCCTCCTCCCCCTCCTCCCCCTCCTCCTCCTCCTCCTCCTCCTCCTCCTCCTCTTCCTCCTCCTCCTCCTACGTCTTCTCCCATTCCTGCAGCTCCTCCTCGTCCTCCTCACCTCCTCCTCCTCCTCCTCCTCCTCTTCGTTCTCATCCGTCCTGCTTCTCTGCCCCCCAGTCTTCGTTCATCCTCCGGCCTCGCTCCGCCGAGCGCTGCCCCTCCTAGTAACACTGGTAACGCTATGCAGCGCGGCCGTGCAAGCACAGCAAACGCGCGCCTGCCAAAGATGTGGCTCAGCCCCGAAAATTTGAATCGCGAAGAAGAACCCTCACACCTGAACAGTTTCAAGGAGGCTGGGTCCACATCATCCCCGCCATCCAGGCAGGGAAGAATCCCCACCAGAACTTGCACTGTGGGACTAGCGGTCTGGACGCGCAGAACGTTACGAATCACCCCAAGCTGGCGACTCTGGAGAAGGTGGGCTGGTATCAATCACTTCCCCCCGCTGGAGCCTGCGGAGCTCACTGCTGACCCGCGCGGGTGGCCTGGTGCCAGAGAACCCCTCGCATTCTGACGCCAGCGTTAGGTCGGGCATGTCCCCCTACAGGCGGATTTTAGGCGAACATTGCAGCATTGTCCAAACATATGCAAAGAATGCGCAAAAGAGTAGAATGATCGTCCCTAGACGATTGTTTAACCATTGTTGAAGATTCCTCCTGTAGAGGGACACGCCCGACTTACCGCCCGCGGTGGCCTTCACTCAGGCAAGGCTGGAGGAGCTCGGTGCCTCTCCCCGTGCTGTGACCCCCGCAGAGAGTGCAAGAAGTAATTGGCATGCTGCTCTCGTCGATGCCTCCCACATCGAGGGAGTGGCGGAGGGCATTCCGCTGATTGACCGCATCTGCGAGGGGCTGCGGGTATTCTTGAGGGCGCTGCCTCCTAAAAGTGAGGGGCGATGCGCTTTAAACACGCAGTGCAACGATGACCCTTGCCCGTCCCGGCAAGGGTACGGGAGGAAACACAGGGGCGGGGAGGAGGGTAGCGAGGGACCTTGGACAGGGGGCCGAAGTAATCACGTGCAGGGGTACAGCTAGCAAGCACCCTCCCAGCACCAATCACGAGCTCCCGAAACTCTTCAAGAGCCAATGTGGTGTCTACACAGAGAGGGGATCAAGGACATGCTTTCCCGCGGCCTCTGTAGCGAGAGTGTCGGCCACTCTATTGCCGAGGATGCGGATGCGGTCCTGCTCTGAGACCGCGTCATCGAGACTGCGGTAAGCTTTGACATGAATAACAAATCCATGGCCCAATCGTGGCATGGGCTAGCACCCTCCAGTAATGGCTGAACAAGGTGGCCCCCTTCAAGCTACAGGCTGGCTGTGTGATCCCTCAGAAGGGGGCCTTACAATCCACAGCAGATTCGGGAGACTGCGCCAGATCCGGATGCAGCCCTGCCATGACAAGCCTGGAATGCTCACAGTGAACAGAATGCTGATGCAGGATCCACGGCTGAAGAGACGCCATCATCATCTATCTGGCATGCCGCCAACCCTCCGCGCTCTAGCTTCTCCACCCCTGTGGTGAGGGCACGAGCCTTCAACGAAGGTGGACCAGCTGGGAGCGAATTGAAATCTATCGCAAGGCCCCTGCCCATGACTGTATGCGCACTCTCAATCTAGCACTGGGGGGTCGACATCAGGGGCAGCAAGCCACAGATGGGCAAAGAGAGGATGAGTGGGGCCCGCAGCAACAGCTCGCTCAACAAATTTCCCCAGCTCCTGGTCTCGGAGGGGCCCGCAACGAGAGCACTCCCAGAGATGATGGAAAGGCACGTCTAAAATACAAGTGTTGCAATGCGGGCATGCCGGGGACATACTAGAGCCCCACTTGGACAAAAGGGTGGCAGTAACTAAACAATCCTCCAACAGCCAACGCACGCACGACATGTCTCGAGTGCCGAGCTTCTTCCAGCTCTCCCGGATCGAGCACTGCTGGCCCGTAGGGGTGGGGATTCGCGCCGAACCTGGATGTCAGCGCGGACTGCAGACTACAAGTTACAAGACTTCATGCTTTGATTCAAGATTGACTACCTACCAGACCACCCCAACCTAACCCGAAGACCCAAATTTCGGGTTTGGGGGGGGGTACGGGTTCAACATGAATTTTTTCGACATTCCCGACCCCCCCAAACCGGAAATCGAGGGTCAAGTTGGGCCTTCGGGTTGGGTTGGGGTGGTTCGGTGGGTGGTGGAAGATGGGGGTGCCAGTGGGGAGGAAACTGAAGGAGGGAATAGGCCTGCCCCTCGGGGCACACAAGATGGGTAGCATCCTGGAACGACCATCCCGCCAGGTCAATCCACTGAAACATCTCAGTAAGCAGGCCGCGGGATTTTTTCAGGCCGCGACTTCCTCTTTGTGCATCCGAGTCATGCTCGTGCTCCTCCTCCTCGTCCTCCTCCTCCTCCTCCTCCTCCTCCCCCTACTCTTTTCGCTCCTCCTCCTCCTCCTCCTCCCTCCCCCCTCCCTCTGCCTCCTCCTCCTCCTCCCTCAGCCTCAGCCTCCGCCTCCTCCTCCCTCCTCCTCCTCCTCTTCCTCCTCCTCCTCCTCCTCCTCCTCCTCCTCCTCCCCGACGGCGCCTCCCGGCGCCGCCATCCGATGCATCGGCGATGCGGCTCAGTCCTCCGACCCCACCTACTCCGACCCCATCTGGGAGGCCTGGAGTCCAACCGAAAGCGTGCGCTCATGCCGCTTGTTGTTTTCCGACTTCTCCCATCTGCAACGACACAATCTGATTATTGATCCCGTCTCTCTCCCGAATTTGTCCCGAAAATCTTCGCCGCTCCTCCGAGTCCTGTTTTTTACACGGAACGGCTTTTCACATGGTTTTTTACAGTCCTCCGATTGTGCACAATTTCTCACAAATAGTCCTCTCGCTGCAGCGTGGGCCTCATTTTCGGGTTGGCGCTGTGCTCCCGTCGTTCAGAATGGCGCTCCCGCCTCACTGTGGACCACTTTTCTGGATCCCAGAGGTCTCGTATGTCCCACAGGCATTGCAGGCCTCGCAGGCCCCACAAGTCTCACAGGACCCACAAGTGTCGCAGGTCGTCCCACAGGTCCCACAGGCACCACCAGTCTGACAAGTTCCACAGGCAGATCCCGCAGGTCGCAAGTCTTGCATGTTCCACAGGTCTCACAGGTCCTCAGGGTGCCGCACGTTCCCCGCAGTCCCACAAAAGCCGACCAGGTCCCACAGGTCCCGCAGGTCCCGCCGGAGCAGCAAGTCCCACGGGCGTCGTAAGTCTCACAAGCCTCACGGCTCCCACAGATCCCGCAGGTCCCACAGGCTCCACAGGTCACACGCGTGTCGCAGGTCTCACAGGCCCCACAGACCACAGAGGTGCCCCAGGCCGCACAGGTTCCACAGATTTCCACTTCTGCGACTACGCACAGCACGATGGGGTCTTTCTTGTGGAGTTCCAGGTCGGCTATATGACACGCGCCCGCGGGTAAAGAAACAATCAGGGCAGTGGGAAGGGATGGGAGGGGGAACAGGACGTCAGATATGGCGCGAGCGCACCTAGCTTGCCATCCCCCTCTTTCCTCTATCACCTACGTACCTTTCTTCCCGCCTCGATCTGTTCATCCTAACCATCCTTCCTTGGTCCAATCGTCGCCATCATCATCATCATCATCATCATCATCATCATCATCATCATCATCATCATCATCATCATCATCATCATCATCATCATCATCATCATCATCATCATCATCACCATCACCATCATCATCATCATCATCATCATCATCATCATCATCACAATCATCACCACCCCATCACCATCACCATCATCATCATCAACAACACCATCATCATCACCATCAGCATCATCATCATCAGCAGCATCATCATTATCCTCATCATCATCACAATCAGCATCGTCATCATCATCGTCATCATCATCATCGTCAGCATCATCACCATCATCTCCCCATCATCAGCATCATCATCATCATCATCATCACAATCCTCCTCATCATCATAACAATCATCATAATCATCAGCATCACAATCAGCATCAGCATCATCATGTCCATCATCATCATCATCATCGTCATCAGTATCGACATCATCATCACCATCATCGTCATCGTCATCGTCATCATCATCGTCATAGTCACCGTCGTCAGCATCATCATCACCATCATCATCGTCAGAGCCATCACACATATCGCCGTGATCGTCATCGGCACCAACATCATCAGCATCGACATCGACATCGCCATCGCCATCGACATCATCATCATCATCATCATACTCATCATCATCCTCATCCTCATCCTCATCATCAGCATTACCATCACCATCATCATCATAATAAGCATCAGCCTCATCGTTATCGTCATCGGCATCGTCATCGACGTCGTCATCGTCATCGTCGTCATCATCATCATCAGCATCACCATCATCAGCGTCGCCATCATCATCAGCATCACCATGATCATCAGCATCACCATCTCGCCACCGCCATCATCACGATCGCAAGGCCATCCTCATCAGCAACATCACAAGCATCAGCATCACCAACATCAGCATCAGCAACATCACCATCACCGTCATGGTCATCATGGTCATCACGGTCAATATGGTCATTATGATCAGAAGCATCAGCATCATCATCGTCATCATCACCAGCATCATCAGCATCATCAGCAGCATCGTCATCATCAGCATCATCATCACCATCACCATCATTACCATCATCGTCATCGTCATCCTCATCCTCATCATCCTCGTCATCATCATCAGCATCAGCACCATCATCACCATCGTCATCATCACCATCGTCATCGTCGTCATCATCAGTATCATCAGCATCGTCAGCATCATCATCACCATCATCATAATCATCCTCCTCCTCATCATCATCATCTTCTTCATCATCAGCATCATCAGCAGCATCATCATCACCACACCCACCATTACCATCACCAGCATCGTCGCTAGCCGCATCACCACAATGATCAACCCCATCATCACCACCACCACCATCACCATCACCTGATTCATCATCAACCTCCTCCTCCTCCTCCTCCTCCTCCTCCTCCTCCTCCCCCTCCTCGCTCGCCCAGCGCCACCTCGGCGTCCCCCCCGCAGCCACAGCGCGCTCTGGCCACCCTGCTGATCCACATGCCGCTCCTCCTCCTCCTCCTCCGCCTCCTCCTCCTCTTCGCCTCCTCCCCCTCCTCCTTCTCCTCCTCCGCCTCCGCCTCCGCCTCCTCCTCCTCCTCCGCCTCCTCCTCCTCCTTCTCCTGTTCTATCTATCTATCTATCTATCTATAAAGTCAGGGCAAGGAAAAAAGCAGCCCGTGCACTGAGAAGAGAGGGAAGGCGAGGACAGCACGACCGACAGGGGACGCCAACGCCCAGGACACCCCCGACCCCCGAGGCCCAAACCCCACGGGCCAGGTCCAGCCGCGGCGACGAGGACCCACCAGCCAACGACGGCGGCCACAGGCTCGCACCGTCAACACCCCTACAGGTAAGGGTCAGAAGGGGAGAAGAATTGCTCGACATCGGGGTCGAGTTCCGCCGGGTCCTGAAAGGCCATCCCGGGGAAGCGGAGCAGTCCATCGGTCATTAACGCCTTCGCGAGGACTTCGAACAGGGTTCGGGGTTCTTCCGCCTGTGGCCCCCCGCACCCCGGCCCAGAGCTTCCCCTCCCCATGTGGATGCCCACGTGGCCCATCGCGTGCGCGCACCGATATCGAGAGGGGTGCTCCCTTACGAGACGCCCCATCGTCGGGCACCTCACGGCCAGGATCGACCGGGCCGGCGTTCCTGCCTCACCCAGCGTGCACGCGTCCATCGTGTGGATCTCCACGCCTCCCACCCCAAGGAGTCGCCTAATCTCGGGGAGGGCCCAACACGAGGGGACACGACGATCGTGCCACTGTGGGGCAGGGCGAGTAATCGCGGGCACGTCCACGAGCCAACATTCGTAGAGAATCCTTATGGCCATGCGCAAAACGCAGTTTTCCGTAAAAACGTTGCCCATACTTTTGGGTGTGAGGGTCGATTTTCCCCAGGGGCATTCAACGTCCCGAAGCCTTTGCGTGGAAGTCCCCCCGTCCCTAGCCGGAGGTCTCCACGTGTCGTCGGGTGGTCTCGCCAGCACCGCGAGCACCTTCCCGCGGCGGACGAAGTCGACGAACTGAGGTTCCCACCGAATGTCGCCATTGCTCTTCATGGCGCAGTCTTCGCTCTGGAGGTCCACCCGGAGCACATACACGCGCCCCTGTTCATTAGTAAGAAAACTCTCGGCAAGGCCTTGGAACAGTTCCCTGGACACCTCCCCCCTTCCAAAATGAACGACGTATTTTGGTCCCTCGTCTCGGACGGGGCGGGGGACAAACAACCGAGGGTCCATGGGCTCCCTCCGCAACGTCACTTTCGGCTCTTCAACCACATGCGGCTGAGGCAACTCCGGCACGCAGATCGGAGGTCCTGGTCTCCGGACAGGGGGGGCGGCAGCAAAATTATCTTGAAGCCCCATGGATCTATTCCGACGGTGTTCCTCCCGTCGCGCGGCTCGCGCATCATCGACCTCCCCCGGGGCAGGGCGGGGTGGCCAATTTCTCCAGGCCTCTCTACACGCTCGGACCTGTTGCACATGTTTGAGTAAACGCCCTTGCGTGTGGTAGTCATACCGGCACGCAGGGCAGTCGGTTCCGGTGACGAAGTGGGGGGGATCAAAACCACTCGGGTGCCACCTGGCACGGTGCGCCCGCAATTGCCTCTGGGACGGCAGCGTTGTTCCACATTCGTAGCACACGAACTTCGCACCCACCTCAACCTCCGCCCGCAGGAGGGGGGAAGCTTCCGCCGCTTTCTGCAGGTCACGCTGCCAACATCTCCGATGCGTCTCATCGCGATGCGCCGCCCGAGCACGGTCAACCACAATTTTCACCACCGACCGGTACTGCTGAGGCGCCTTCCGCGCCATTCTGATCCAATCATCGGGCCCCCCTTCCCCGGGCTGTTCCGCAGGCGGGAGGTGGAAATTGAGCCACTCAAAATCTCCTTTTAACAGTTTTGGCCAAGCTTCCTCATCCCACAACCCGTCCAGGAGAATCCGCAGCATGGGCGGGGCGTGATGAAGCATCCTGGTCAAATACCGCAGCCTCGTGATTCGAACCACGATCACCCACGGGAGTCTGCCAGTGTTTTTCATCACTTCGTCATAGGACGCGTGCGTATCAGCATTGTTGTATCCTGGGAGATTAAGGACACAACGGTACAATTTGGCGTGTGCCGTCTGCACTTTCTGCTGGAGCCCCTGATTGAGGGGGTCCCAAGTATGGGCGTTGAACCACAACTTAGACCCGG